CTCGGGTGATAATAATGAACCTGATCAGTACACTCTTCGCTTCTTCTCCGATACGCAACTCCCTCATGAAGCATTTGAGTTTTCGTACACGAATGACAATGAAATATATCAAAAATTGCTTTCAGTGAAATCAACAGCCGTTGGTGCCGACGGTATAAGTATCAGCATGCTGCTGTACAGCTGTCCTATAATTTTACCATATCTCACGCATATTTTTAATTATTGTCTAAAATTCAATGTAATACCCAAAATTTGGAAGCTTGCACAAGTAATTCCCATACAAAAAAAGAGCAACCCTGAAGATGTGGGCGACCTTCGACCCATCAGCATCCTATGTACTCCATCAAAGGTCTTCGAAATGATTTTGGATGCTAGAATGAGGGACTTTGTTGCTAAAAATGACATTCTTCCAGAAAACCAATCAGGGTTCAGATCAGGTCACAGCTGCACAACAGCCTTGCTCAAAGTAACAGATGATATCCGCAAATACATTGATGATGGCAACCTATGCATCTTAATCTTATTAGATTTTTCGAAGGCTTTTGATAAGCTAAACCATGATCTACTGATTGCTGTTCTTCACTACTTGGGTTTTTCTAAAAGTGCGGTTCATTTATTAAGAAATTATCTCAAAGATCGGGCACAAGGTGTCAAATGCTTTGGTGAAACATCCGAATTGTCTAAAGTTTGTCGAGGTGTACCTCAAGGATCTGTTGTAGGTCCACTCTTGTACATTCTGTATACCTCTCAGCTGCACAAAAGTTTTAAACACGTCTCATATCACTATTACGCCGATGACACTCAATTATATATTGCTTTTAATGAATCAGATATAAACCGAACTTTAAGTAACATAAATGAGGACCTTCAGTTTCTTTATCAGCTAACAAAAAAATATTGTCTCTCCGTCAACGCCACTAAATCTAAGGCTCTACTATTTGGGAAAAACAAGAATCGTGAACTATACTCCAATAATTTAGACATTTATTTCGGACAAGACAAAATAACTCTTACAGACTCCGCTAAAAATGTAGGGGTTATTATGGATACAGATCTACGCTTTTCCCAGCATGTCTCTCTTATAACCAAAAGGGCATTTTCATCATTGAAACTGCTATACAATAGCAGAAGCATAATAACCAAGACAACAAAAATAATATTGTGCGAGTCTTTAGTACTTTCTCACCTCAGCTATGCAGACTGCGCGTACGGCCCGTCATTGCTACATCGAGATAAGGCGCGCCTTCAGCGTATTCAAAATTCTTGTGTCAGGTTTGTTAGTGGTATTAGAAGGCGGCAGCCGATATCTCTTCACTTAAAGAACTTAGGTTGGCTCAATATAGAGAAAAGAAGGTTCCTTCATCGATCCGTACTATACCACAAGATACTCAATACTGAATCACCATCCTATCTTTACAAGAAGATCAAGACCCGTACAGAAGTGCATAGTCGTAACACGAGGTTTAAACATCATCTCTTACTACCTAAATTCAAAACTTCAAATTATAAGTGCTCTTTTTCATATGACATTGTTAAGGTTTACAACTCGCTGCCTGATAGAATTAAAGCCCTATCAATTTTGAAATTTAAGCGAGAAGTGAAGACTATGTTGAGATTTGAGATGACTTAAATTTAACACTGCACGCTGATTTGCCAATTATTCTTCTGTATGTCTTTTTCGTTTGATCTTTGACATTTTACCTTCATAAGATATTAGCTACAACTTCTAGCAATCTCATTCAAGCATCAACTCGTTTTATTTTATAGGTTTTACCAAGCTGCCTGCAACAGTTATATGTCATCTATGGATGTATAATGTAATATATAGTTTTAAAACATAATATGTCCAAATAACTTTGACATGCTTGCATCGACGGTAGCTTGACTCAACTCAGTAATTTCGTTTCTATCTAATGTTTTTTTTTTTATTTATTTTTTTTTATATACATTTGCTCATAATATACCTTATGACCATTAGCCATGCATTGAATTTGTATATTGTATGACACACACAAGCTTATAGCTTAGGTGTCTATTATTTTGTAGTAAATTCTTTTGTAGTAAATTGTAGTACTCTTGTTTCTCTGCTTAACCTTTACGCAAAATTTTTATTGTTTAAACAAGATAGTTTGACCTTACTCGAAATATCCCTCTATTATCATATTTCAGATATTCATATTTTATGTACTCTATATTTATACTTTTGAGTGTTTTTTAGTATGCTTCTGTACTATTGTTATGAATTTTAGATTTGTTTATGCAGAAACGTAATTTAGGATTTGTGACGACAAGATCCAGACATTTACCCTTTACGAAAGTATACAGAATTTTCACAATTCATATACCGTTAGTTGCTGGTTCTAGATCTGATGCTAGTATCTTTGCTCAGATTTCTGTTGCAATCTTGGTTATTCAGGGTAGCAAGAGCATACAAGCTCATGTATTTTTGAAGCTTTTTGCATTTAAATTGTACTGAAGGTTGTTTTTAATTTGTAAGTTATATTGGTTTTTGAATTTGAATAAACTTTGAATAAACTTTATGTACCTGTGTTAACGTTTAAATTTTCTCGTGCTGTTATTATTATTACTGATATACTACTTTTTTTTTTTTTTTGGTTAGGTGGAAGAGCGCGGATTGACAACTAACGGTTGTGAATCAAGCGAACCTTGCCGTTTGCTCACTGCATCAGATTTATGTACTTTTTCTTTTTCTGTACTTACATGAGCAATAAAAGCAATTTATTATTATTATTATTATTAGATACATAAAGCAATAAAACGTAGAAAAGCATATTTTGGGTCACGTATATCGCAGTGAAGATTTAATATGATTCAGATGATAATTGTTACAAAAACGAAAGTCGATCGTCCTGGCCATAGACTAAAAAAAAATCGCAACGGTGTCATCAGGTCATAAAAGTTGAGCCCACTGAGAAAATAATAGTTACGAACAGGTACTATACAGAAGTTAAAAGGATCAAATCAGACAAACAGGCCTTTACAATTAGTCCATATGATATTTCCCTGCGCTACTGGTAGTTACCGTCCATCTGGCAACGTTGCCCTTCCCAGAACAATCAAGCAGACCGTTACGCCGCACGCTGAGCCCAGAAAGCAGAAGGAGGCGCCGCGTATCGAAAACATGTGCATATCATTCTAGATTTTAAAGTGTGAAATATGACTAATGCGTATAATTACTAGAGTTGGGAGCGTATAAATATACTAATATTAAAAAATTGAGATACATTGCATACATTTACAAAGAACAGGAGCGCGCGGATCCAGAAATAACATTGCTCTCAACATCCAAGTTGTTTTTCTTATTTAAAAGCATTGTTAGATGAATCCGATTTCTGGTGCCACTCAAGACCTATTATTACTAAGGCTTACCAAGGTTTGTAGTATACAAAATATTATGCCATGAGGGAACTTACCTATAACAAAAGAGAAAAGAAAATTAATACCAAAGTAATGGAATCAGGAGTCAAATGCGTGTAAGAATTTTCTCGCATGATATATACAAGATTTTTTCTAATTTCTTCAACGATCGTTGCCAGTTTGCGAATGAGAAACTTGCCATTATTAGATCCTGACAGGCACCGGGCGGAGGAATATACTTGTGATATGCGAGGCCGTTTCCATCAAGGCCTGTATATAATTTTTTCACCACTGATGGTGATAAATTACCATATTTAATTTGATTCTGAAATCTAGCATATCTGATGATTTTCCTAACATCCGGCAACGCTGTCAGATATAGCCAACACAACGTATGCATCACAGAACGGTGAGTAGACGACGGACGCTGCCCATAAGACATACATACAATCAACAACAATATTTCAGCGATAAAATACAGTCTGTATTTACTAGTACATAGTAAACAATACGAGTCCCTTCCCACTTCAGTTGGCCCAACTATTGAAATTTTAGTTATTTTCTTATCAAACACATAATGATAATGTAGCAGGGTGGTATAGGTTTAAAATATTAACAATGAATATTTTGATAATATATAGTAGAAAACACCAACTTTATCACTCCCTAATCAAATTTGCAGAATAAAAATAAGACATGTTGCAATTACAGCATATCAACCTATTTTGATTTCAATGCAAAATAAGTCTATAACGCGAAGGTGGCGGTGAAAAATAAAAGCCATGACAATTGTTTTTATTAATCACAGCTGTCAGAATTCGTTTAAAATAGTTTTGGGTAGTTAAGGTTTTCAAAATGGGTAGAGGAAAGGTTATTAGTGAGAAAATTCGGTTACTGATAATTAAATTTTTTAATTCTGGGAAATCAAACTCAGAAATTGCAACTTTGTTAGACTTATCGCGGTACAGTGTGAGAAATATTGTTAGAATATATAACGTAACTGGTTCAGTTAATATTAAGCCACGATATGTGAAAAAAAGTAATATCACAAATGCCGACCGAAGAGCATTAAGAAGAATAATCGTGAAAAACAGGCGTGCCAATTATTCACAATTAAGTGCTCTGTGGAGTGACGCTGTTGGAAGGAGAATTTCGAGGTCCACAACTCATAGAGAGACCCACAAACTGGGATTTAGCACTTGCAAGGTAAGTTTTCTTATAAAAAAGGTGAAGTAAAAACCCTAAAGTTGCACAACGTGTTTATAGGCCAAAGAAAAACCACTATTAACTCCACTACAAAAGAAAAATCGGCTTAGATGGGCTAAAGAACATAGACAATGGACACCTCAACAATGGTGTGCAATACAATGGAGTGATGAGGCCCGATTCGAAGTTTGTGTTGGTGACAGTCGCAGTAGAGTTATTCGCAAAAAAATGAAGCATTCCATATTGACTGTCTGAAGAGAAAAGTGAAATTTCCAGCATCCATTATAGTCCGGGGCAGTATGTCATCAAAAGGAGTAGGAAAACAGTAGGAAAACTTCATTTTATTGATGGAAATGTGGATACAAACAAATATTTGGCAGTTTTAGAAGAATCGCTTTTACCAGTGATGGAAGAAAGTTTGACATCCGGCCAAGATTTTGTGTTTCAGCAAGATGGTGCAGCGTGCCATACCTCAAAAAAGGCTATAAAATGGATGGAAGAAAATAATGTACCACTTTTGAAATGGGTTTCTAGCAGTCCAGATCTGTCACCTATTGAAACTTTGTGGCACGAGATGAAAAAGGTTCTGCGACAACATCCTGCTCGTACAATCACCGAACTGAGACAAAAGCTTCAAGAAATATGGGATTGTTTGACACCAAATTTTTGCCAAAACTTGGTTAACACTATGCCCCAAAGAATTTCAGCCGTAATAAAAAATAAAAGTGATGTTACCAATGGTAATCTTTCAATTGTTGCTTTGTTAACTTCGCGCATTTATTCGCACATTGTTTATTTGTTCAGATGTTCTATTAGTTATAGATCTAAGTGATTTCAAATATGTATTTTTTACGACTAGAGTGTATCTAAAATGTTTTTGAGAAAATAAATTGTTTTAGAAGTAAATAGTTTCGTCATGTTTAGTTTAGAAAGGTATATTTTGGTACAAATCTTGAAGTGGGCCAACTGAAGTGGGAAGGGGCTCGTACTTAATGGGTAAACGGTATAATCGCAGTGACAACTCTGTCCCCAACAAGCTAAAGAACCTCATATTCATTATTTGCAAAGTTTTTTTTTATTATCATTATTTGCATAGGGGGAAAACGTGTTGCTTCTCCTCAGAAGTAATGACGTTTTTTGAAAATTAGTCGAATATAGAATAAACGCACACGCTCTCAAAATGAATGAACGGCACTGGCACATAAGACTATTTTATATTTAGTATACAGTTTTATATGACCTGATAGACACTTGCGGTATCTCGTTTCTGATAATGTCACCACAATGCCATCAGATCCACAGACAGCCAGACAGACATACGAGTCATTACAGTGTACAACACAATCTGATATCTCGGATTATCTTTATTGCTTTTCTGCTGCGATGGGTCACAGTCTGCGCCACTTCCGTTTTTAAAGCCAGATTCAATTTTTATCATATAAGTGGATTTTCCCAACTAGACGATGTTCGAAATCACTATGACCAACTTTACCTTTGGAATTAGCTTTCTTCAACTAGAATTCACGCGAGAGTAAGAGGTATTGTTTTGTAAAATACCACTGCACATACAAAATAACGGTGAACAGAGGGCAAACATTCAACCAGATATTTTGATTTTGGTGAAAAAAATTTTTGGATATCATAATTGTTTTGTTATAAAGACTTTAGCGAAAATTTTGATAGAACATTTCGTGCGCTTCAGAAATTATGCAGGGGGTTAATAAACTATATAGCCAAACTTCAAAGAAATGAATCTAACAATATTATACAGCGTGTTCCTTAATGATATGCGAATATTTAAGGGTGTGAATGTTAGTTTCATTAATAAACTATGGTCCAAAAATGTTTCCTTACAAAAACTCGGGATGTTGAAGTTTTAGGGAAAAAAATGGAAATTAATTAATATTTTCAGAACCACTTCAGATATTCCACTGATATTTAGTACGTAGTGAAAGTTAATAAAGTTGCACATCTTTCAATGCAAAAATAAGTTTTAGCTTTAACAGTAGCGTGCGTACGGGTATTGACTTCGATATTTTTTAAGTAAAAAATGGTACGCCAATGGTTTTTTGCCAAATAAAAATTATTATTATTGAATTCCCCGTTCAATTTAAAACAAATGATCTCTCTTGAATTGTTTTCCTTCGATGCGCCATTTTTGAGTAAAAAAATAAAAACCGTTCTATTGTCTAACTTGCAAAATTATTATTACTTAATTCAACTGGAAAAATTAAACACATTAGAGGTAATGAACAACAACAACTAACAACATAAACATAACATTAAAACCAATGAAATAATTACAAAAATTGTTCACCTCCCACCCTTGAAATTTTACCAGGTACTATTAATGCTGAATAGGGGATGACCCGCTCATCTATCAGTAACGTTTTGAGTCTTGGTAACTAGATGTAAAGCGTATCATTTTGAACAGTGTTTGAAAATTAATAATAACAAATTAAGAATCTGTTGCCCCTTGTTATTGATCGCATCGCGCATCACCAAATGTGAAATAGGCCTAACAGTTGACGTATACGATGTGTCAGCGGATGTACAAAGTAGCGCAAAATGAACCCAAAAGTTTACTGACATTTCGACTGCCTTTGAAGCGCAGACATCAGCGGATGAGAATCGCAGACAGAGTCAGTTATAAGGAAGAATAAGACCGAACGAAAACGGGGAAAGCTCATCAATATCCAGACGATGTCGACAAGACGGTGATACGACATATATGGAAAACAAAAGAAAGCATTTTGTACAAGAATCACCCTGAGTGGTTCAGATTTCTCCATAGCACTTTTCGTCCGTTAACTGAAAAAAATCACTAAACTAGGGTTATCTATCTATCATATTTTTTAAGGAATCCCAAATAAAAATAAGCAAGCAATGGAAGGTAAAAACAAGTTTAAGTATTTGTAATCAACTGAAATTACGTTGAGTTCGTACAAAATGCATAACTTTTTAGTAAAAGTAGGTAGATTTGGAATAAAATTGGAGAGGTTATAGCTTTGGTAGCCCCTGACAGAATTTCCTGAGTTTAACGCCTTTCGTTTAAAATATATTTTATTCTGTACCCGAAACATCCATTTTGTATAATTCCAATATTGTTTTAGTTTATGCATTTTAAAATAGCCAATATATGTAATGTGTTAAATTTATTTGGGGCGGCTTGTCATATTTATACCACAGCATAATGCTATGTGGCATAATATAATGCAGTTCCTTCTGGCAAGTAATCTATTTAGAATCTATCGCTGATGGGTCACAAATCCTCCACTGAAAACTGTTTCTAAATACGGTAAAGCGTTTTTAGAGATAAATTGGAGTATTTGTTTGTACAAAGGTATCAATTGACTTAACATCACATAACAACAACTATCTGGGAACCGAAACCACCGTTAACTGTTTCTAAATCGGTTTAACCGCTCAAGAGCGAAGTGGAAACATTCGTTTCGATTCCTGACTATTTATCAGCGTAATACCTAGCTACGAACCAGCGCCGATTGATCACAAATCCTACGCTGAAAACTATGCTAAGTGACATATAAATCCGAACACCCAGTTTAAATGGTTTTATTTTAATAAAATTTTGTATAAGTACTTAATTCAGCATAATAAGTAAATGATAAAAATTTCAAAATGATTGCACTGCTTTAAAGCACTTTGACCTTTAATAATGTGTGGATGCACCCTGATGTGCTACGCATTCTCCAACGCGCCTAGGTATGCTTCTGATCAGGTGGTCAATGTCCTCCTGTGGTATCTCATTCCAGGCAACTACCAACTCCTCTCGAAGTGCTTCTAGAGTCTGAGGAGGACGTTGCAAATTGAGCAATCTCATACCCATCATATCCCACACGTGCTCAATTGGGGATAAGTCGGGAGATCTTGGTGGCCATGGTAACAATGTGACATCATTATGTTGAAAGAAGTCTATTGTGACTCTTGCAACATGTGGTCGGGCATTATCTTGTTGGAAAGTTGGATCTGCCAGGGTGTCAAGATAGGGTAAAAGATGGGGTTCTAGAACTTCGTGGATATAACGCTGCGTTCATGTTACCTCTGATGAAGATTAAAGGTGACCTGGAACCATAAGCTATAACACCCCAAACCATAACTCCAACAGTGTGATGAACTGTCTTTCAACAAAAAACTGTGGATTCCTCCTTTCACCACGTCGCCTTCTAACCCTGGCACGACCATCGTGCATGCCTAAACAAAATCGAGACTCGTCACTAAAGACAATACTGTTCCATTCCTGATCCCAGAGTGACCGTTGTCTGCACCACTCAAGGCGATTACGTCGGTGTCTCGAGTTAAAGGGAGGACCCAGTGTGGCCGGTATGAAAACAAGCCAAAAGTTCTCATTCGTCGGTAAACACTTCGCATGCCAATAGGTCTTCCGTGTTCTGCAAACCATTCATTTGCAATAGACCTGGTAGTGGAGAAACGGTCCCTTAAGGCCAATAATCTTAGGCGGCGATCTTCACGGTCTGTTGTTCTACGGCGGCGTCCAGTGCCCCTTGCTCTTTGCGTACGGCCTTCTCGAAGCCATGCCTGACAACACCTAACCACAGTGTCTACACTTCTTAGCACTCTAACTGCAATTGCCCGAAAAGAAAGTCCAGCTTCCCGAAGTCCCACTATACGGCCCCTATCAAACTCACTAAGTTGACGAAATCGTACAGGTCTCCGTACTCTAGGCATCGTAACCGATCGTAAAGGATGTCAAGAACCAAAATCCGCCAACGTTGATTCTTTACTGCGGCTGAAATATTCATTTTTAGAGCGTTAGTGAATTAAAAAAAAGCAGTATAAAAACCGGAATGTCCAACTGATAAGGCTGAAAACTTTTTCACTTGTTATTTACAGTAAGATAAATACATTCACCAACGTTTATTAAAATACAACCATTTAAACTGGGTGTTCGGATTTATATGTCACTTAGTATATTTCTAAGTCGGTCCAATCCAAAAGATAAATTGTAACATTCGCTCGCATACGCAAACATCTCAACCCGAATGCATACACCCTCTCGTTTTTGCCACGATTTTGATTGACATCTTAATGAAAGCAGTAATCTTCGGAAAAGCTTTAAGATTTATTGAATCTATGAATCGCAAGATAAGCCTCAAAATTCTGCAGACTGCATGGAACGTTGTCTATCAAGCAATTGTTTACAGATTCGAATGCCTGCAGAATCAGCTGAAAATAAATAATAGGAACGAATGAAAGCAAGGAAAGGCCATCAACACCAAGACGTCGAGACGGTGACACTACAATGTCTAAAAACAAAAAAAGAGCGCTTGTTTACACGTAGTCGCGCACGACACATCACTTGCGTAAACGTATGTCATTGCATCGTCGCATTGCACCGATGCTGTTGCAGACGATTTTACAATTTTGCAAGCATTAAAATTCAAGTCGATGCGCTCCTGCGTTATGCACAATATTTGACTTTTATAAGTTCGTTTCCATGTACGAGGGGGTACTAACTTTGGCGGCAAACTGGTTTCAAGAGTTTGAGTTTAGTGATTTACTGCAGGCTTTTTACTTCCTACGCAACTGGAAAGGAAGTATTGTTATCGCAAAAATGTGTGTTTTGAATGTTATTTGACGTACATATACAGGGTGTCCCAGAAGTCGACCTCAAGCCGAAACCGGGTGATGGGCAAAGTCATAACAGCTATCAGAAAAATATTTAAAAAA